GAACTCAAAATGACAAAGGCACCAAAATCCTCAAAAACCTTGAACCTCAGACGAGGTAAAGAAGCATTCTTCACGCGAAGCCCACCACTGCTTTTTAAATAGCACACGCTTCCAGAGGAAGCCCCACGGCTGTGACTGCAGAATGTCCCCATGGGTTATGGCCTTCAGGCTGACAAGAACAGTAGAATCGGGTTCCTCCTGGGAACTGTGAGCTGTATCAGCTCTGCCTTTATGCTTTATCTCTAATTGACTAAAATCAGAGGGATTGGATGCAATTATCGCTCTGAGATGAATAAGATAGCAAAAAGAAAGAGCAAAAGAATGTGCAATGTACTAGACAATACAAACATGCCAAACGCAGGACAGGGGTTACAACTCCGGCACTGCCACCATCTAGTCTCAGCGCAGAAGAAATGATAAACTGGCACAAAGGAAAAAAAAAGGTCAAAATCAAGCAAGTCTGACTAATACCATTGCCCCAGTAACGGTTTTCATACTTCAAGAAGTCAGAAGCTATTAGTCTGCATCCACACGTAGAAAGTCAGTATGACTGCAAAGAGACTCAACCTGACAGTTCAAGGCCATCACTGAGGACCGATCCCAGGTCTTCAGCAATTCTTTAGTGGCATCCACAGAGCCCCTCTCTCAGGCTGCAGAAACATCCCTTCCCAGGACACGGGAAGTTCTCCTGGAGAACACGGGGTGCAGGGCTGGGCAATGCTGCTCTGACCCCTGAAGACAGGCCGAGACAGGTTGGTGCCCTGTTGCCTCTCTTGCCTTTGAAAATGTTCCCCACGATAAATATTTCAAAATTACAATAACTGCAGTGTGAACGATCATGCCAGATATTTTCAGATGGCAGTAAGAACACAAAACGTACGGGGCACTGGGACATGCAGAGCTGTGACAAGAAGACATAGAGCACCTTCACACTGTGGGGCAAATGAAGGGACACAATATAAAGTACATTAAAAAGCCTTATCTTCACTCACGACCCTATCCACAGGATATTCACTGCCTAAATTTATGCATCACATGATGCATAATTCTTGGTAGATCGCGCCCAATATTCCCAAAGGCCACCTTACCCATATGAAAGGGAGCACGGATAACTAACATGCAAATTGCAGCCCCTTACATGCTGCAGAAGAGCACATGTAACATACAGATGGCCTTACTCCAGTTCAGCCCTTTGTGCTCTCCCATTCATTGCTTTTTTGCTGCAGTCCTTTCTGCTGACCATTTGTACGCTAATTGACCAAATCAGAAATCCCTTCAGCTCTCTCATTCTCAGCAGATAAATTGTAGCAGGGACATACATAGCTGGTGAGAGGGCATAAAAAAGAGAAAGTGAAAAAACAAACTTACACAATCGCAAAACCAGCATTTCCAAATCTCAAGTTCTTACTGCAAGTCTTGGCTTAGCTCAAGTTTTTTCCAGAACACTAGTTCTTTGTGCAATTTTGACAAATACAGGTTTTACTGGGGGCAAAGACAGTCAAGACATCAAAGCAAGGAAAAAAACATTCCAGAGCTGTGAAACTCAAATGATCAGGGCTAAAATACTAATTAAACTATTTTAATTGCTCAATTAAAAAAAAATGCATGTTTTTCCTGGAGCCTCAGGAATCTGAGAGTAAATTAGTGATTTCTGAATGCTTGAGGTTAGTAATACTTGCAAAAGCACGTGAACTCAATAAGCTGACCTGTTAGCCATGGGAAGAGAGGTTAAGTGGAAGACTAAATAATGTGGCGTGTGAGCTGAAACAGCGAGGAGAACTTAGTCTCAACAAGATTTCAACCCTGCTGACAGTCATGTTAACGTGCTTTCTCAGACTGAAGCGTAAATGGGACCTGAGCCTAAAGTTCACAGCCTCCTACCTCCTCCCTACCTTCTGCTGTCTTCTACCAAGTGGCAGATAAGCACAACCCTAGACTGTGGCTGGGCGAATGCAAAAGTTAAACATGTATCCTTCTCAGTTTCACTGAAATAAATTAAAAAAAAATAATAATCCATGGAACAAAACTTTTAGCCGTCATACTTTATCTTTTGACTGGCTGCTGATCAGAGCTAAGGTTCGTGGAAAACCACGGCTCTGTGACAATCTGAGAGAACTGCTTTGTATTTGCCACAGAGACTAACAAAGTCTTCGAGCTCCGAGAGTCTTGGGGGGGGGGGGTTAAAAACAATTCTTAGAAGTTTCTTTCTACTCTGAACATGATGCTGCTTTCGTTACCTCCAGCCGATCAAATCCAACAAGCTCAAGTGAGCAATTGCAATAAACCGACTCCCGTACGAGCACGGCCAGCAGCCCTGGCGACTGTCCACTTTTAACTTCAGCCCTTCTTCCACACCGCCCGCTTTAAAGTATCCACGCCGCCTCAGAACACCACCCCCCGCGGACACGTCCCTCTCGCCCAGCTCTGGCGGTTACGCTCACACAGCAGCAACACAGCTGGCGCAGCAACACAGCTGGCACAGCAACACAGCTGGCACAGCAACACAGCTGGCACAGCGGGACCTCCGGCCCGGCCCTGCCACCAGCAGAACTTTAAACGGGGTGCATGGGAAGAGCTGCACCTGGGAGCGCCAGACCTGTCGGGCGAGTGCCCCCCGTGCACCCAGCGCTTTCTCCCGCAGAGCCCCTGCTCTGCCTGGGGCCGGCCAGGCTACCTAGGGAAGCCAGCAACCACCCAGCTGCACGGCAAAGGAGCTGGGACTGCTTCAGCCAGCCCAGGGACAGTGGGATCTTACGATGAATTGTAATTCATTTACCTTCTATTCATAAGCAAAGGGACACAGGAATGCGAGATGCCAGATGGAGTAAGCTGACTGGAACTGGAGAAGATGGGTTCTCCATTTATACAGGACTAGAAGCCGAGGGTAGAAACGGCAGAGACACCACACAGGACAAAAGCCTCACCGTGCATTCGACAAAATCTAGTTTCTTCCAGTCACCTTTACCTCGGTTTCCCTCGGCCAAGTCCGTAAAGCAGTGAGGCATCAAAGGAGGAAAGCAGGTGCTGAGAGGGGCCCTTGTAGATGCACACGGGTGTTTTAATGGCGTAGCAAGCAGAGGCATTTTTGTAAGTCTGGTGCAGGTCGTGGCACGCTGTCCCCGTGTGATGGTCTCAGCTCTCCGGATGGAGAGCACCAACTCCAAGAGTAAAACATGGTTTTTCTCTTAGTGTATGTAACTCCAATTAACCTTACTGGAGCATTGTGAGTACACTGAGAAGATTACACTCCTTAATGTGCAGTTACAGCTGTATTGTAAATGCAACATTACATGCTTTCTATTACGGCTCAAGACCGCCACGCTCTCCAAGACTGTTATAAACCTCAGAAAACGGGGGTTTATAATGGAAACACTGAAACACTCAACTCTAAAAGCCCCGGCAGAGAGGAAATATAGCTATAAATTCAGCTTCTGTTTTCCAGCATACACATTGACAAGGTATGAATAATATGTATTTCTGCACTTAGAACAGACAGATGTACACACTGCTCAGGGTAACCTTTGCTGTAAAAGTAGAGGATGGAAAGAGCTCAAAGTGGAAAGCGCAACCTTTTTTCTTGTCTTTTACAGAGCTACTGCAATTGCAATAATGACATAAAAACAGCAATTGAAATTTAGTAGCCTGTGCACCAGGTTGGATTCTGAATGCACTTTTTTCAAAAGGGTAGGTTCCGTTTCTACAGTCAGCAAGAAAAAGACACAACCCTTCCAAACCCTGTTAACCCCCTTTTAAAAAAAAAAAAAAAATAAAAAATTGGCTATTTGGATACTGTTCAAATGAAATTGAAATCAACATTGCAAAAATTGATATTCTCTGTATATTCTTTTCTTTATATAGTCTGGTCTCTAGCTTCTTAACACTACCAAGGAACAAAATTTGGACTAGCAATCACTGGACTTGCTAACATGAAAAGACCCCAATCTGTTTGGCAGGAGAAAAACGGGCAGGCAACTGTAATACCATTGGGGCTGTGGCATTTGGGAATTTCTTCAGATATTAATAGCAACAGCAGAGGTGTGTCAATATAATCCCATTAGCCACATCACGCTGTTTGACTTCTGATACGTACGAGGAAAGGAAAACAAAACCGACAACATTGCTTTTTGGGAGGCACGCTGACGTTGGGTAAACAGGGAAAGCCCTGCCTGTTTCAGGCGCTGCAGCCTGTGGCAGCTGGGGACAGGCGGAGCAGGGAGCCCCAGGCATTTTGCTGGCACAGCCCTCACCTCCAGGAGGGAGCGGGGAGAGGCACCCACCGCTGCTCCTGCTGCTCCCGCACGGGGCCCAGTGCCACAGGAGGTCCCACCACCACCGTCCTCCTCCTTGGGCACCTGCCCTGCCCCGGGTTTCGGTGGCATCCCCGGCCGTGCGGCTGCTCTGGAGGCAGAGGGGCCGGTCCAGCAGTGGCTCCCACCACTGGGGTGAAGCTGGCGTACGTGGTGTCAGCGCACGGAGAGACAGCCAAAACTCAGCAAGGCTGCATGCAGATATGGTCCCCATTGTTTATATCCGTGCAAAACACACTTGGGAAAGTTTCTTGAACGTGTAGGGAATGCTTTCAGATTCAGACGCCCCCATAAATTATTTTCTATCGCATACACATTAGCAGTGTCACTGATTCTGTAAACGGTGAGAACATCCGATACATCAAAAGTCTATGAGGTGTATGAAAAACTTCAAGTGAAAAGCAGCCCACGAGCCCTTCCCTCCCGTTACAGTTGCTCTGGTTTTTAAGGCCGTGGATTAGTTGGCAGAAAGTTTACCACTTCTATCCACTACCTCTAACACTTGCTGTAGCATCCTCATTATAGCTGTATATCCCCTCCCCGCGGGTAACCATTCGAGGGCACTGTGCTTAGCATTTCTGCATGCTTGATTTATGAAGGACACCTGCGCGTTAGCTTTCTGCTTTCCACCCTTCCACACACCAGCAGCCCCGGTGCCCCCAGTGCCAAACCCAACGTGCCCAAAAGCTGTACCTCCGTGCTGACCCAGAGGTGCCAAGTCTCCGAGCAGGAAGGGAATCGCCTCATTGTCCAGATCTGTTCAGCATTTGGCGGCATCTGTGGAGATTAACATCAAAGCTACCTTATTACCATTAAAAGGGCAACACAATTCCCAGCAGAACTGAAAACTGCCTTTCGCATCTTCTCTTGGGTGAGGCCTTTACTAGGGCTGACTCCTGTCTTTGCTTCCACCTTTTTCGTTTAAATAGGGTCTTGCATCAGTAGCCTTGGATAAAAACTCCCACTCTGCTCCCACGGTCTTCAGTGTGCCCGCTGCTTGCTGTCCCACCCCAGAAGCAGTAGCTGAGAACCAGCGTCACCGGGCGTAAGCCGTGCACATAGCAAATCTGCAGTCTTCAGCATAATTAATAAACTATTTGTAGGGAAGAACCATCACGGCATAACCGTGACACTGCGGGCAGTCCCTGCGCATTGGGAATCACCAGCTGATGTACGCTCAGCCCTGGCAGACCCGCAGAGTGTCCTTGTGCAAAGTATTTCCCAAAACTCCGGCAAATTTACACTCAGGCGTAAGGACCAACAGCAAGGCTGGAAGAGTTTCCCAGATGCCTGCTTCTCAGAGAATCACAGCCAAAACGTTCAGGAGTGTTTTACCTGACCCATGAAGCACACAGAGCTGTTTCTCGTCCCTGTGCTATCCTGACCACTGCTCTGTTTTATTAAGCAGCAGGATGAAACTGAAGCATTTCCACGGATTTTCACTGTAGTGATCTCCACAGCCTGAGACTTACAGTTCCCTCCAGTTCAGCAAACAGCAGAAATATTGGAATAAGGAAACGTGCGCAGGCAAAGGCTCTTGAAGCCACTTGTGCAAAATTTGTATTTGGCTATTTCTCCCTACCAAGACCCAGAAAGTCAACTTGCCAGGAAAAAAAAAAAAAAAAAAAAAAAAAAAAAAAGCAAGCAAGCTTAAATTCGGCAAGAAGCTGGATGTTAAACCAGTCGTATTCACTAGAGAAATATTTCCAGTCGCTGTGGGGAGTGGGATTTCCCCCCCTACCTTCTTCTAAGATTGAAGGGCTGTTTGTTCCCGCCCACCTTCACATAAGGGAGCCAACAGCCGCGCTCCCGAGCACCCGCAGGGGCCGAGGGCAGGCTGCTGCAGCGCTTCCCACAAGCCACCCCAAACCCAGCGATGTGCCACGGGCACCGCGTGGCAAAGCCTCCCACCGAGGGGGGCTGGGGAGGGGGCAACGGGATTTACAACACCCCCCCCCACCCCCCCCCTCTCCTCCGCCAGCTCCCCAGCAAACACTAGCAGGTCCTTACCTCCAGCTCTCCCCCGTGCCTCCTCCACGGGTTCCGGGTGGGCTGCCGGCAGGGAGCTGCTTGGCACACCCCGAGGGGAGCGGCGGGGAGCGGCATCCCCCCCCCCCCAAACCACACAGGTGCTTGGAGAGCTGCCCTCGGCCCCGCAGCCCGGCAGAGGCCTCGGGACTACAACTCCCAGAAGGCCCCGCGCCCCGCCGACCTTGTCCCCCCCCGGGCTGCCGCCGCGCCACGCACTCTGGGGGTTGTAGTTCCTCCGGGGCAACACCACCCGCCCGCCGACATGCCCTTTCTGGGAGGGGCGGCTTTTCAGGGCTGCAAAGGAAACAAACGCTCTGAAACATATTAAATATATTTAAAAAAAAAAATATTTATCTATGTAGTTCTGTATAAAAAGGCAAAAACTCAGCAAACATTTTGGTGTACAGTGGGTGGAAAATGGGAAGTTAATCACAACGCTCTTTCTGATTCAGGTGGGGGTTTGGCTTGCTGTGAAGGAATAGGGGAAAAAAAGGCTTATAAGCAAGTATTGCCAAATAACTTCGCAAAATCAGATGGGAAAAACTTAGCTGTTCCCATACACTAATTAGTTAATGACTGGCCTCAAGCCTACAAACGTGCCCATACTTAACTGTATCCTCCACTGAAGGGAATGCAATTGAATCTCATACTCCAGCTGTTCCAGAAATTTGAGGCCTCTAGAAATGATAACTATGTCCTATTAATGGTGATATTTAGATGTAATTAAGGGTTTATCCACAGTGGGAGTTGCTGCAGAGTAGCTTCACTTGCACAACTCCCCTCTTCTGCGCTGGACATGTATTTCACACTAATACTGCTTCCAACGGTTTGCACCATTTGGGCTTGCAGTCCACAAGCCACCTTCACCTGAACTGAGGGACTTGCGCAACGTGAGCCTAAACTGCATGTTCTTTTTCACTTTGTGTTTGAGCCTTTATTTAGGCATCACTTCCCAAAAGCTAGGCCTTTCTTTTGAAAACTGGAAGTGAAGTTTCTCACACAGTTGCTGCTGTCCTAAACTTGGGAGATCAATAGGAACACTAAATGCCATGAGACCCACAAAAGAGCCTTTGGGAGCATGGCCCTGTTTGCCTAGCTGGGAACGTTTGCTTTTCTGACACTGAGAGGAAAGCTGTGCAGAGGAGAGAAAGCTCTCCTTTCAGAGTAGAACCTCCTCTTAGTAATTAGTCCTTGTGAGTAGCAAGTTTTAACAACACTTCATGGAGAACATAAAGTTCATAATCTGTCCAGAGTATAGTCAAAGCTTTAAAGTTTTGCCCAAATTAATTGCATATGCATCAAAAATGTGAACAGTGTTGAAGTACGATGAGTCAGAGAAGTTCTTCCAAGACCGGTAGGTACTAAGCTCACGGATATAGAAACAGGTCCTTTTAGATAAGGCGAAGAGTAGAAGGAAGGTCCTAGGTAGTGGAAAATAGTAACACACGAGGGACGCAGGAGGTTCTAGTGCACGGAGAGGTGGTACCCACGAAGCCTTCATGGCTTCTGCAGAGCGCCAGGCCACAGCTGGCTCCGCGCAGCCCTACGGCGATGCTCCTACACGAGGAAGACTTCCCCGAGCCTGGGTCGTGATGCGGAGGCAGAGCCCGAGCCCTGCCAGGACGGGCGCGGAGCCGCGCCGCGGCGGGGCTGGCAGCGCGGGGGCACGGCCCGGCTCGGCGGGGGAGCGGCGAGCGGCTGCAGGGCTTCGCCCCAGTCAAGCCACCGAGCTGCCTCTGGACCCCGTCCGGCCCCAGAAAGGGTTCGGCTGCTTTGCAAGGCACTACGGCTCGTCTGGTACTTCTAGAGCAAGCTGGCGGCACATGAATAGCGTGCTTAAGCCATAACCCAGATAAGCCTTCCGGGATAATTGAGATTCTACAGTATGTGACTTTTAAAAGTAAGTTTTCATAGACTTGCTAGAAAAAAAATGTGAGTTTTGACCTAGCACTTTTCATTCCAGGATTTCTGAATAATCTTTTTTAATGCAGGTTTAGAAAAAGGGGGGGGGGGGGGGGGGGGGGGAAGAAAAAAAGAAAAAAAGAAAGTTCTTTTGACTTCAAGTTCAATTGATAGAAGATCTATTAATCAATGGCATGCAATTTACATCAAGAATGCCTGTATTAAAGCAGAGACATGGAAAAGCTGGAGTGGATTGCTGCCCAAGATCTTAATGCACTAAGAGTGGAGCTATGTTTGTTTTCTTTTTTTGTTCTGAACTCTGTAACATTTGGTTGACTGAAACAGTATCTCTTACTAAAATTGAGCTGTAAGAGAACTGCTTTGTGAATACAGAGGATTATTACTTATCCCAACAGGTATTTGTTAGTTCCTGACTCTGCAAAGACTTGCATAACTAGATACACCATGAATAAGTCAATTGAAATTGCTAAGGTCTGTCTAATGTTTTCATTTTCCTATTTCCCAGAACAATAATGGTCTCAGTCATCTATTATTTGCAAGAATTCACAGATAAAATCAGAATAAAGAGGAAGCATGGATAATATAGCACCAGACCCCCCTATTGTTTCGTTGGAGTAGGGAAATCCACTAGAGACTAAACTTTCTGTAAACATCTGTCTGACACCGGCTGCCCTTCTTCCCTTCCCGAGGGGCCGGCTGACGTGGGGAACCTCAGCCCACCCCGTGCACCTGACCACCTCTAACGCAGAGCTGGGAGAGATGCCATCTGTAAGGACCACACGAGAGTGAACACAATTCTTTTCCCATATGGAAAAGAGAAAAAAAATCCAGGTACAGATGTTTTCCCAATAGCAGAAGGCAGGACAAGAGGCAAAAAAAAAAAACTTTCAATGCCAATGGTGCCAGAGCTAAAAAATCCCAGTGCCTTTCACAGGGGGGCTTTCGTAAACCAGCCTGTGTCTCTTTGCACAGAGAAGCGTGAGTGAAGTTAGCAGTGCCACTCAGCCTCATACATGGCAAAAACTTTCCACGTTGCTTCCATATTTTGAAAAGGCTGCAGCTTTCCTCAGCACATTCTCTTAAACAACCAGTAGGCAAGGGAAAAATGGAGGTAAAGCCAAAACGGTTACCTTGCAAAGTGCTGAGCAGCAAACCAGGGAGCCAAAGTGCTCCTGTTCCCCCTGAATGCTTTTCACAGCTGCGCCCTGGTTTCCTGGGAGCTTTCTGAGGCAGGAGCTGGTGCTGCCACCTCACCCCATCCCCAGCATCAGGGGATTTGCAGGGCATTTTCAGTGGGGCTTGACAGATCGCAAGTGAGCAGCGAAATCAGGGTGCCAAGCAGGAGACCAGGTGGCGAACGCGCAGTGTGCACAACACGTAATTTGCTCCTTTGTAACCTCGATGACACGTTAGAAGCAAAAGTTGAGGGAAGCTCATGGGAAGGCAAGTTCCTCGTCTTGTGACCCAAGAAAAAGGGTTGTTCTCCCTCCTCTGCTTGCGGAGGGCTCTGCTCGTTCCCACCCTTGGCCGTTGTGGCAGATGAAGTGGGGCCGTGGAGGGAATCTGGGCTGGCGAAGCCGCAGGAGGAGCTGGATCCTGGCGGGCATTGTTCTTCCCAGCAGATGGAGCAGGGTTGGCATGGGCAGAGCGGGCAGTGGGAGCGGGAGGCCCTCCCGCCCCCAGCCATGCCTGCCCCTCTCCCAGGAGAGGCTTCTCCTGCCCTTCCCCTGCCCCTGCTGCTGCCCCTACCCCTGCCCCTACCCCTGCCCCTGCCCCTGCCCCTACCCCTGCCCCTACCCCTGCCCCTGCCCCTGCCCCTGCCCCTACCCCTGCCCCTACCCCTGCCCCTGCCCCTGGCCCGAACGGGTCCCACCTTCCTTGCAGGAGGTCCTTCTCCTTTCCTCCAGTGGCTGGAGGATTCATCCCAAAGGTCTCTGGAGACGAGGGTAAACCTTTCCCAGGGCTGCCCCCTCGCACTGGTGCTTGTGGAAAGCTGAACGGCGCAAGGAGGGTTGATGAGTGTAAAAGCACTTATTCCTGCTTCTCCACTGGAGCACGCGTGTCTGTGCTCACATGTCCACAGACACCCACCCACCTTTTTGCTGTTTGGCTGTGGACTACCTTGAGTAGATGGAGACCTCCCACATACCTGTTCTCACCTCCCGTTTCTCTTAAGCAGGTCCACTTTCATTGTCTGTAGTGGCCAGCTAGGTTGTTTTCCACTCGTGTTTGTTTCTGATGAGTTCAAGCCAGGATCAACATCAAAGACGGGTATGTTCATGTCGGGTCAGCACATTAAACATACTGGACTGAGAATGACCAGATTCCCAAGGTGAAAAATCAGAGATGGAGGTGGAAATGGAGATGGAGTACTCTTTTCCTGCTTAGCCCTGGACACGGGAATGAATGGAAAAACAAGACGTAGCCTTCTCCATCCCACCCCGCGGGGTGTGAGACCGATTCCCCTGCCGCCCCAACGCCCATTTCTTCATTCCTTTCACTTGTTTATTTTTGTGAAGTTGTGAGACACCGGTCCTTCCGTAGCTCCCGCCCGTCCCATATGTTTCAAGCTTTGAAAGCCAGAGATAATCGTCTCCCCCTGATAGCCATCCACCAGCGTGTTGGTCCCACCATGCGATCACTGTGGATGCAGAAGGTGAGGAGGGTGCTGACCGCTGCACTTCCCTCTGCCGATCTGAAGAGGGACACGCCAGACCCCAGCACACTGGGCTGCCTCAGTGGGTCAGTTCTACTCCGGGATCTCCTCTGCCGCTGGCAGACCTCCTCATGGCGAAGCGGCTGGTGAGGGAAGGTGGGCTGGGGCGCTGGCAGGGACGGCAGGCTCTGGTACCTCCTCGGTGGGCAGCGCTCGGTTGGCATTACACTCAGCCAGTGGATAGTACAGACGCGGGGCCGCTAACGTGGGCATGGTGCCGTGCAAGCGTAACAGCGGGCAGGTTCTGCTGTGAGCAACGTGAAGTGCTGTGCGGGATACAACAAACCCTACAGAATAAATACGGTCTTGTTTGCAGAGGGAGACATGTGCAGGTAACCCCAGTATTTACGCCGCATTCTTCCCTCTTTCGCCCTTTGGGTTTCATTATTCTGCTTTTTGGAATCAGTTCACCCTCCTTCCTCGAAGGAGTGGGAGTATTTTCTTTTATTATTATTATTATTTTTAAAAAGCAGCTCTTTTGTTTATGTCATATC